TCGCCGCTGTTCTTTACAGCTCTATAATTCATCACCCATAACTTTACAAATACACCTACAGTGCATTCAGAGATCTAGAAAAGGCAACGCATATCCCATGTCTGGCAGTCTTATTTCTTGAGCCAATATTTTGAAATTTAACATCACTAGATGCAACCCATCGTTCAGTTCGGTATAAAACTGATTTCAAAGCCCCTTAGCTAAAATTTTACCATAATATGGCTGGACTTTTCTAGTTTGCGATTAATCCCAGAGTAACTATGCGGGCGTTTGAATTTATTGCATTTTGAAGTCGCACTCTGACGATTGTTGTATTTCCTCAGCGCAAAAGAGCAATTTTTTCTGCTTTGGAAAAAGCAACCCTTTAAATTAATCACTTTACCGTAAATTGATGATGGTTTTCTAGAAAACACAGCGATAAATTAACTGGCACAAAACTAAATCGGACAAAAAATTCCATTAGTCGCTGCATGACTGTTACTTCCCCTCACTTCTCCTTTGACTATTTGTCATGCCGTGCGTATTTTTTACTTTACTTATAGCATGCATTTCAACACATTCCCATGCACAAAAACTGCCACTGATTTTTGGGAATTCAAAGCATTGTGCACAGAAAAATCAACAGAATAAACTGGGATTTTTCATAGTTTTAAAAATAAGAACAGAAACTACTGTCGAAAACAGAAAATTCAAACCCTAAGGTTGAAAAAGACCTGAGGAATGAAAACTGAAGTGAGTGCCCCACGTAAGGCTAAAAACACTGTTGCTCAAGATCTTTTTCTGCCCTAGACAAGTATTTGCTCACCGCTCAAATATCTGCATGCAAGACAATTTAGAATCATGAAAGTCGTAACTTCCTGGACCATTTGTTACAGCAAAAACATGAGAATGCCTGTAAGAAGCTGGCAAGGGCAAAAAGAAAAGTATTCGATTCTGGCGTGCAGCGGGCAACCGGCTCCGATATCACCATCGATAACGTCAAGAATGCTCGCAAGGAGCGTGAGAAGGTTTGCTTATCTCTAAAGTGAATTTATAATCCCAAAAATCGGTTAGGAATGTGGGAAATGCCTTTTAGAGAAGCAAACACGCTCTCATTCTTCTCCGGTGTCAGTGCTCCGAGCCTCGGCATTGTCTTGGTTAAACGCTCGCATACTGCTGGGAATTGATGCCAGTAGACAGGAAAATCCTTGCGTAAGTTTTGATTGAGAGCCACCTAACTCAAATATCACTGTGGCCTTCGAGTCTTGGAAAAAGCCATTGCCTGCACATATTTTCCAGAATGAAAATTTTAATTGCAGCTTGGCGGTACGTTTCCGAGGCCAAAAACAAGCTGGCGTGAGAAACATGAGACATTCGTTAGCGCAGTATCGGCATCCAAGCAAGTCAATTATGCTCTCCGTACCGGCACACCGCTGCCGCCACCACCAAAGGCTTCAACACCGAAAGGTAGGAGCCATAAACCACTCCCTCAAAGCATTAACATTCAAAGTTCTCTGGTATTCTGTGTCAGGAAATCAGCGTGCTCTGTCACAGCCGACGTGCTACCCCTAATACTTACCCAGTGCTTTTTCAGATTATGTTAAATGCGAGTATTGTGGACGAAGCTTCAATGAATCCTCTGCTCAACGGCACATACCCATTTGCAAAACACAACACGAAAAAAAGGGGCCAGTGAAGGCGGCGGCTAGTACAAAACCATCCAATACTAGCACGGTAAGGATTATCATAAAAGTTACACCCCCCGCCTGTCCCCACTGTCCCTCTTCACTCTCTTCCTTTGTCGTCTTCAGCGGGTCCATTTCTATGCGTTTTTGCATATATGCAAATTGCAATAATTGGCTGACGCACCGGCTGCCGGTGCGAAGATGCGTTTTTTGCATAGTTCCCCGCAGTTTTTGTCGCTATCGGCACCGGTTTTTCCGGCAAATACTTCTAGCTAAACAAATTAAGACTGGCCGCCAGAACTGTCAGATAACACATCCTTAAAATTTCAGCTTCCTAGCTTTTCTGGCTCTCGAGTTAACATCTTATTCGAAAAAACTTTCACGGGCCCGCACGTGGGTACCATGCGGCTAATAGCGCCCATCTTAGGGCTGGGGTCCGTATGTGCATGCAGATTAGGTCCCCATAGTTTCAGCCCCTTAGCTTTTGTAGGTCTTGAGATGAAAAACCGTGACAGGCGCACACATAGACACACACACACACACATACACACACACACAGACAACCCCTCGTCAATATGCGTTTTCTGCATTGCATAGATGCAAAAAGTGCATATTGGCAAGAGGCTGTGTGTGTCTATGTGTTTGCACTTTTTGTCACCCACTTTCAATTCGAGAACCAAAAAAGCTACAAAGCTGAAAATTTGGGAGTATGTGTCCACACCATGCGACACCTGCCCGTTTTAATATCGCGCCCGGGTGCCGCGTACAGGCGTCTTAAAAAAATATGCAAATTTTTTGGCGGAAAAGTGATCTCGGAGAACGGGCAAGGTAAGGGGCTGAAACTTTGCAGAGATATCCCCTTTGCATGGGTAAGCTGGAGATTTCGAATTCAGCCTCCAAATGTGCGTGGTACTCACGTAAGGCCGTGTGAAAGTTTTGGCGGGAAATTACTAATTCGGAAACCAGAAAAGCTGGAAAGGTTTTTAGGAGAATGTTTCCCATCTAAGTACAACTTGAGTGTTTCAAATTCAGCCCTCAGATGTGCGTGGTTCTCACGTATGAGCACGTGAAAGATCTGCCGGGAAAATTGCTAACTCGGTAATCAGAAAAGCTGGAAGGCTGGAATTTCGGGGCGATTTTCCCTGTCCAATTTTAAGATTCAAATTTAGCGCCCCATGTACCTGGGGTATCCACGTACGGGGATGTTGAAGTTTTGGAGGGAAAATTACTAATTTGGGAACCAGAAAAGCTAGAAAGCTGAAATTTTAGAGGAGTGTCCCCTGTCTAAATACAACTTAACTATTCCAAATCCAGTCTACAAGTATGTGTGGTTCTCACGTATGGACAATTAAAAGTTTTGACCGGAAAATTGCTCACTGAACAGCTAGGTTACTTTCGCACAAATACCTTTAAATAAAAGTTTTTATTTGTGCAAAATTTATGGTGATTTACGCTAGTGAGCGCAAAAGGTAGGTGCAAAGCAAAAACATTCATGCAATTAATGACCTGAGTGCTTCAAGTCTGGTGCACAAATGCATGATCGCACCGGGGTTCTTGTATTCTCCATTCTGAGACTAACTTATGCTAAAACTGCTAAAGAGAGATAAAAATATGAATGAAAAAGGGTGAAATCTAACAGGGGTGCCGACAACAAAACCAAAATCATGCGAGGGAACTGGAAATTTCAGACATGAATTGAATGGGGAATGTAGAAAAACAAGAGAAGGCGCAGTTGGAGATCCTCTTTTCCTTCCCCAATCCCAGATATGAGTATGCCAGCACAATGCCGTCTTGTGAAACAGTATAAAGGCTTCGTCTTTTTTCCGATGAATGCTCTTAATTATTATTATCTTAATTATTATTATCTTTTGCAAGGCCATTTGACGCTAACTCCCCTTGGTAAGTCAAAAGAATATAGGTGTATGTCGGGTGAGGAGCTTGTAGAGTATGATTTTTAAGGGTAACAGTAAAA